GGGGGGGGCGAGTCTGGGGGCGGGGTAACAGGGCGCAGGGCCAATGAGGAGCCCTGCGAGGGGGCAAGTCCCATGAGAGAGAAAGAGAGAGAGACAGAAGTGCAAGTGCCTCTGTCTCTGTCTCTCTCTCTCTTTCTCTCTCTCTCTCTCATGGGACTTGCCGGAGGGCCGTGGGAGGGCTGCATTTATATAGAGCAGGGAGGGCTGTTCGAGGGCCGGATTAAACCGGGCCGCGGGCCGCAAATGGCCCGCGGGCCGGACTTTGGACATGTCTGATTTAACTGGTTTTGAAATAGTGAAAAAGGTGAAATATTTGGGTGTTTATATTACGGCCTCTAATGTTAAATTGTATAAAAATAATTATGATAAGTTATGGATAAAAACTTTAAAGGACTTAGAGGAATGAAAAAAGTTACAGTTATCTTTGTTAGGGAGAATTTCAGAATTTCTTCCTAAATTTCTTTTTTTGTTTCAAATGATACCTATTTTAAAAAAGGATTCAAATTTGGATGAATGGCAAAGAGGTATCAATAGATTTATTTGGCAGGGTAAAAAGCCGAGGATTAAATTTAAAATTATGCAAGATCCACGTGAGAGAGGGGGACTTAAAGCCCCAAATTTAAAATTATATTATGATGAGGTGGTCTTAACTTGGATTAGTGACTGGATTAATCTAACTAATAGAGATATATTGATTCTCGAAGGTTGGGATTTATTTTATGGATGGCATGCTTATTTGTTTTTTTGATAAGAAAGTTGATCAGGTTTTTAAGTCTCATATTGTAAGAATTGCACTTTTGAGAGTTTGGAAGAAATATCATTATAAATTAAATCTTAAAATCCCAATCTGGGCTATTCCAGAACATGCAATACAAGGAATTACAAGGGGAGTTAAATTTGAGGGGATTGTTTATAAGGATTTACTTACTTTAAGGGGACAGGACTGGCAATTTAAATTATTGGATGATTTGAAACAAGATAATATCCTCCAGTCCTGATTTTTATATTGTCAGCTGGTTGGTAGGTGGCGTATAGATCAAAAGCTTGGTTTAACTTTGAAAGATGTGAACCTGATAAAGCAGATTAAAGATCAAAGTAGAGCTCATATTAGGAGAATTTATAGTGTTTTAATAGAACTGGATTCGGAAACAGAATTAGTTAAAGATTGTATGATTAAATGGGATCAAAATATTCAAGAACCAATTATGTTAGACACATGGGAGGTAATTTGGCTAAGAAATGTCAAGTTCACCCAAGCACAGAATTTAAGGGAAAATTTTTACAAAATGTTTTACAGATGGCATTTATATCCCCATAAATTGTCTTGCATGTATCCAAATTTGCAGCCAAAATGTTGGAGATGTGGCAATCTAGATGCAACTTATTATCATATTTGGTGGACATGCAGGGACGTAAAGACTTTTTGGATTAAGATTTGGTGGAATATCCAACAGATTTTTAAGAAAAAGATAAAATTTACACCGCAACTATTTTTATTGGGTATTATGGAAAATTTGGATCTTAAAGAAATGAATTTGATGTTGTATTGTATAACAGCAGCAAGGTTATTGATTGCTCAAAATTGGAAGAAGGAGATATTACCGACTATGGATGACTGGATACTGAAGGTGTCATATTTTGCAGAAATGGCTAAAATTTCCGCATACTTGAAGGATCAATCTCAAGAAAAATGTATTTTGGTATGGAGAAGATGGATAGATTATATTCAGAGAAAGTATGAAATGAATAACTATTATATAGCTTTTGATTAAATATTTTTTTTTGTTTTCTTTTTTTAATATTTACACATATTTAATATAATTGATATATATACTTTATATTTAAGCTTATTATTGTATATTAGAGTTAAAGTATGTTAATATTTGGTTGTATTATGATTGGGTAGCTTTATTTAGATTTGGGATGTTATGTTATTATCCCTGTACTCAGTTCTGGAAGTCCGGGGGGGGAGGGGGGAAGGGGATGAAGGGGTAGAATTATATAAAATTTGGTGTTTATATGTTATAGAAAAAATAATGTAATTTTTATTTTTAAGAGGAGATGGTCGGCTAGTACCCCTAAACTGCATCCGAGGAGGTGGAAAAGAAGGTGATGGGATGTGTAGGACAGTCGGAAAGGAGGAAGGAGGAGAGGATGTGGGTAAGAGGTGAAGGAAGAGGGGAAGTAGGTAGGAAGGTGGAGGGAGTGAGGGTGGATGCAGGGGGGGGACCGCCTATCATTTCTGAAAATTTATTGAGTAGGTTTTCTTTTTTGTTTTTTTAATGAAATGCACCATATTTGTATTATTTGTTTATGTTTATTTGAAAAATTAATAAAAATTTGTAAAAAAAAAAAGGAATATTTAGCTGTAATTAAAGAGAGCCTCTTTTAGCTCATAAAGATAATAGTCACATAAATTGATTAAGAAATGAAGGGTACGACATTGTCCGTTTGAAAAATAAATTCCAAAATGGCTGTTTTATCGTATACTGACGTGATTTCTACCCCGCCCCCAAACTTCAGCTCACCTGCTCTTTTGGAGCTCAGCTTCTAAAACAGCTTGCAGACTGATGCTTTATCAGAGAATCGTAAGGGCTGATTCAGAGATACTCCCTAATCCAGGAGGATCAAAAAAATAAGAGGAAGCTTGTTCTTTGTATTGTTGAGTTGGAAAAATGACAGTCCAGAGAGAGGAGCTTCTCTAGGCATGTCAGCTGCCGGCCATGTCTTCACCAGAAGTGCCCTGGACTTCATTGTGGAATTGCCTGAGAGTTCCAGGAATACTGTAATCTGGGCTGTGATTGACCTGTTGTCGAAACAAGCACATTTTGTGGTGTGCCCGAAAATCCCATCAGCCTGACCCTTAGCTAAATTGTTCATGCATGGAGAATTTGTTTTGCTTCTTCAATACTGGGATGTGTATTCAATAAAGGTTATCTTTTCTGGCACCTCAAAGCTGTGAAGATTCCTTAATTTTGAATTTGCTAGATGGATGGTAGACACCTCAACTCTCAGAATTGTTCAGCCAGCAAAGCCAAATTAACTGAGGGATTCTGGAGGTTATTTATTAAATTTATATGCTGCCTATCTCCTGGAAAAGACAACTCTGGGGCACTCTGGGTAGAGCTGAAATCCACAAATCTTAGTTGCCAAGATAGAAGAACGCTACCCTAGAGGATTTCCTTAGACTTGCCTTTTAGGAATGTGGACCCATGGCTGGGAAAGAAAGTCCCTCAGGGCTTGCCATTATCACACACCCAGAATCCTAAGGTTTGAGGTGCAGGAATTCAGGAAGACATTCTCAACAGCTAAAGATCTGGTCAGATGAGGCAGAAGCAATCCTGCTACTTCCAGAACAGGGCAGGGCCAGGATAACCTTTAAGTAAGATGCTAAGGGGAAGTGGTTAAGGTCTCTTAATCCACACTCACTTTGCAAATAGCTGATAACTGGTTTAGAGGATCTTGGGTCAATAATGCAATACTTCTACTTAATTATTCCAACTGTGGTCAGGTCGGCCTGTTTCTGACAAAATTAAGCTTATTTTGTTTTCTCTGAATTTATTCTTATAAGCTAAATAATTTCAGATAAGAATTTGTACATACTTCTCTTTGTGTAATCCTCTATATGCTAATTCAGTTCACTTAATATAGGCTATAAGTAATTTGTCATTTTACTTTACATTTCTTTATTGCAATCTAAGTTTGAACTTTCTCCTGCAGTGTGTCACTCCAGAATGCAGATAACATAGTCCATTTCTCAATAATATATTTTCTTATTCCATTTGTCTAACGATAGACCAGGGGCTTCACTGCAAATTCTGATATTTTTAACTATTTTACAGTTGTATGCTTCCAAAGTTTCTTCCAAGCATGTATCTTTGAAAGGGCAGCCATATAGTAGGGAATGGCAGTATTTGAAAGAGATAGAAAAAAACAATAAAGGAGTGATGTTTTGTATATATAATTTAAATTAATTGGTGTCCTGATTAAAAACAAAACAAACCAGATTAATTAAGTTCAATGAGATTTATGGATTGGTGCCCAGGAATTGAATTAGAAACATTCTTAAATTTATTTTCAGCAAGCTCTATGCATGCAAGCGATTAGTGTGCAAATACAGGAATTCTCCCAAAAAGTGTTCCATACCAGGGAAAATATTTTCTTATTAATATGGCAAGTCACAGAATACTAATAACATGTGTGAAACATTGTTTGAACAAACCCCTTATTTTTAGACATCTATGTTTAGGATTAATGCAAAGGAAATATTCCTGCAAATTATTAGCTTTCAAATGTACCTGATGGATACTGAAAGAACCAAATGGTTGAGTAAAAAAAAAACTACACTGCATCAGGTAAAAGCCACAAAATAAGATGAAATAGCTAGGGTTAAATCCATTTATACTGACCTCAGTGTTCCATCACTGCTTATATTGACTATTCTGCGAAACCATTTCTGATCAGTGCTAAAATAACCTCATCTCCCAAAAGTATTTGCTAGGAAGTATGAATAGTTTACAAAATAGCAAAATAAAAACCATGAAAAATATATTGTGAGAAGTTTACTCAGATACTAGTACTAAATATTTGAGATGAAAGAGATTTTGATAAAATTTCTGAAAAAGGCTCTGGCACATGTATTTTCCATATTTATATTTAGCCAGAGAAAAATGCTGGACCAACACTAGATATTTGGGATAGAATTCATTGTTATAGAGAAAGCAAAGCCAAAATACAAATTGGGTTTAATAGATTAACATGTAGCATAAAAGGTGTTGTTGTAGATATCAGCTCTTAATTCAATGGACTCAACTTTGTATTTGCAGTGTTCCCAAAGCACTTCTTCTTAAGCGCCTCCCCAATTTATTTTTATTTATTTATTAAATTTATTTAATAAATTTATTTATTTATTAAATTTATTTAATAAATCCCCAATCTACTTGGCATGCTGTGGTGGGTCCTGTCAACACCCTGCATCCTCCATGGCTTTTCCAAGTAAGTTTTTATGCTTAATCAGTAATGCTTGAGTTATTCTGCAAACCAAAGCAGCAGGGTTTAATGTGTTCTGAGGAAAAAAACAACAACCCTAATTGGGGATGCAATAGCAAAGAGCTAATGCCTCTGCAGAAATCACAGCCAACCCATTCAGGACATTTCCAAGGATTTATCAGACTTCAGTACCCTGAGTAATTGTGTGAGGTTTCAAACACTATTGAAGGAAAGGAGCAAAGCTTCTCACTGCAAAAAGTATTACAGTTTGTTTTAAATATTTAAGTTAATGGGGATTTGCAAAGGGGAATGTAAAAAGAAAACAAAGTTTAGTATTTTTTAAAGAAAAAATATTGCTGAGATCTCATAGGATAAGAAAACATTAGGATTTTCTTTTTGAAATGACTCCTTGTCTACTTTTGGTGTTTAGTGTCAAATTTTTGGAATTGGTTTTACTATGGTAGTACATTCTGCCATAGAATTTTTATAGAAAATTCTATAAAATAAACAAACATGCAAATAAATACCATAAATACATTTTATTGGAAGAAGTCTACATATGTATATATTTCATGTTTTTGTGAGATGCATAACTATGTAAATATGCTAAATGAATAAATAAAATGTCTCAGTTAATAATATGTGTTTAAATGTTTAAATTTGCTAATTTGTGCTTTTATTTTTTTAGATATGAACATTTAGAGATCTAAAAAATAGGACTCATAGCTAAAACTGAATAATTTAAACTATGATATATGAAATTAAAATTGATAGATTTTTTCTTAGATTATTAAACCTTAAACATGCAAAAAATGAATAAACGCATGCAGTTCAACCAGTTAAAATTAATAGAATGATATATGTAGATATATATTTTCTAAATATTATATGTTGCCTACTATATGCAATTAGTATTGATTGAAATGTAAAGTTTTCTGGTTTTGTATTTGTATTTAAGGATGTCCTTTGTTTGGGGGGTTTTAAGGTACAAGTTTTACCTGGATATGAGTGTCAGAATCCAATTATATTTCATCTCTAGTTATCGACTATGGAAAACCCCATTTCTGCCCTCTCTGGATTCTGTCATACGATGAAAGGGAAGGGGGGTGAACAAAGGGGTTTTATGGCCCTCACTTCCTTCGGTACAACTTCAAAGGGACTGAATGTGGATTCCACTAAAAGGACTAATCATAACAATGAGGCCATCAGCTTTCATCTAATCCCCTCTGAAGTCTCCCTTCCACTGGCAGTGAGGAAAAAGGGGGTGGAAATGTAACGCCTGGGATTGTCGCTGGAAGGATGGTAGGATGGGGTGGGGCTGTTGGGGACCCCTTAAAACCTTGAACCGTAGGGCTTTGGCCCCAAGTCCTGTCTAGAACGCCTGCAGCCATTTTCTCTTAATAAAGATGCCTGTTGGAAGAAATATTCCAAGAGTTTTGTCTTCTTAAGGTGCAAAGTGGGGTGGGGTCCTTACAATGAGACTTAATTCCACTAAGCTCAGGAAAGAGTTTCTGAATCAGAGGGTATTCCCCAAACAACACTTAATTGTATGTAAGCACATTACAGTCTCTTATTTCCCATTTCCAATATAGAATTATCACTGATCTCATTCTATGGTTAATTACACTTTAATCTGGGATAGGATAACCAGTTGATGTTGAACTCAAATATGTAGGATTAGGCAGAAATAATGATGTAGAGGAAGATAAGTTTTCTTTTCTTTTCTTTTCTTCAATGTCTGCTATGTTTCTTTCACCAGCATTTCTCCAACTAGAAACACTTAAGAATAATATAAGAGATATGCAGGCCTTTTTTTGTCATAGAACGCCCAGAACGGAGTTCCGGCACCTTTTTTGGATGGAACCTTGTAGGGTAGGCAAGGTGGGTTGTATGATGTGTGCGAGTTCCGGCACTTTTTTTTTTTTTTTTTTTTTACAAAAAAAGCACTGGAGATGTGTATCTTGTGACAAAAAGCTTTATCTGTCCCTCCTAGATTGATATATGCCAGTAAGAACTCTCCTCCAATTTTGTATTTCTCTAAATTTACAATCTCTCTCTCTTCTTTCTTTATTACTCAATCCTATCATCCCACCCAGGAAATGGATAAAACATGTCTTTCTAGAATGCATTTAAAATGCAGAATTGGACATAAACTCCAACTAGTTTGTTTTTAGTGAGGAAATATATTCAGTTATGGGTTTTGTTTTGTTTAAAAATTCTCAGACAAATATTAACAGAGCTGGCATAATAATCCCCTGGGGAAAAAATGGGAAAATCTAGTGTGCTGTAGCCCTACCTAATTTGCAGTGTGGTTCTACCCATTTTAAGCTAGACTTCCATCAAATGCTAAGTGCCTTTCCTAGTAAAAATAGATTTATGAAGACCGTGATATTTCAAGACTTACATATGCTCTGCTGTTCTAACACATCTGGTAGAAATCCAAGCTCTGCTGTTCACATGAACTTCTTTTATCATCAGCATCAGAAGGATGACATTTTTCCTTTCCTCACAACCCCTTACATATTTTTAATTTTTTCTCTAGAAGTTTGAGACAAACCAGATTCAAAGGTTGAGAATAAATTTAGCCAACAGATTGTCTTAAGCATAACCATTAATATTTAATGCTTTTTCATTCTCCCTTAAATGCATTATTCTACTGGTTTGGTATTATGTCACCTGATTTTCACCAAAGCAAGTGTATTTTTTGGAAATAATTCAAAGTCAATTAATTGATAAAACACTGTTTTCTAGGGCACTTTTTTTGCGTTATTTTAAGATGAAGTGTGTTTAGGTCTCCAGAGAATATAATTCAAAAAATTCCAGATGGCGACTATGATAGTATAACCTAAGCTTTGACCACCTTTTGTGCATTTCACATGCACCACACATAAAAAAAAGGATGAAACTTCAATTGTATTAGGTCAACATTACATAACAACAAATTATATTTTAATTAAACGTATAGGTTGATGCAGATTAGACCTATATCAAAGAATTTAAATATTTAACTGCCCACATCTATTCTGGTGCAAATTAATCTCATTTCCATCCAAATATATAATATTTTGCCTTAAACACAACACTTTAACTTGAAAGTAGAGACATAATCCCATCCTCATTGTATTAGCTTTAACTTGATAAGACTTATTTTGGTATGTTTCCTTTTAATGGTATAGGGTTAAGATCAAGTTATTAGAAAAACAGAGGTTATTGTGTTGATGAAACAGAGGTTATTGTGTTGATAGGACACAAGATAGAAGAAGGTGAATGAGAATAATAATGATTAAATTAAATGTTTTTTGAAAAAAATAATGATATAAAGTCTGGATAAAGCTTTATTGCTCAACCCATAGTTAGTATCTATGTGTCTTTAGTGAAGTAAAGTCCATTTTTTAAGGAAACATTTCAGAATGTGAATTGCCAAGTGGAATAATTCTTCACAAGTGAGGCAGCAAATGCTGGCAGTTTAATGAACTGCAAGTTTTGTACCTCTCTTGAGGGGGCTGACACTTTCCCACAGAGCATTTCATATAGGCCTAGCTACCTCACAATGGGCAACAGTGCCATGACCAATCATTACGTTCACTTGACTCATCTACACGCGACCTCACCACTATTTTTCACTGTGCCAATAAACTTTAAAAACCATCCCAAGTTGAAAAGGCTTGGCTGAGGGTCAGTTGCTTTTTTGTGTGGCCATAAAGGGGTGCTCTGTGTGCCAATCTTTTCTCCTGTCTCACATTCCACAAGGATTTCTTGATGCCATTTAAAGCCCTTGACTGAAAAATAAAGCAGTGAATAAAAGTGATTTTTATAGACTCATTCTGGCTCATCTTCCCATATAATCCTGTCTACCTGAAAAGCGATTTAGTGAGCTGAGCTGACTACATACAGGGACTTTCTGAATACACTGGGCCAATTATCAACTGCACCAATTGTTTATTGACCGGGACTGATACACTACTATTTTGGAAGTGACCTATTAATTGTCCATTTAACTGGAGTGAATTGAATTGCAATGGAAAAATGGAAACCATGACGAAAGTCTTTCCTTGCTCCTTCATGGTGGTCTTGGTCACAAAAGCAAATTAAATTTGTTCCACAGATTAAGAAGACATTTATCACCATATACTCTAATACTAAGAAAAAGCTTTTTCTGAAAGTATTTGCCACCATATTAGTGTCTGGTTTCATGAGGTATTATACGCTTCCAGTGTGGAATTCAGCAGGATGTGGCTGCAAGTGCCTGCAGCTTATTTGTTGTGATGTAACTTCTTCCTAATACAATGATTCATATTTGCTAGATGTTCAGAGAAGCAGAATAGAATATCTGTTTTCTGTTATCTGTTTTCTAACTTGCAATGCAGTGCTCATTGGTTAGCTCTACTACTCTTTCCGACTATAATTTATAAAGCATTTGTTGAATTTGAACTGATAAATGTACATAAAAAGCTTGTATAAAAATACATCAAAATATACCCAAACCTCTAGATCACAGATATTTTATTAGGTTGCTATTTTGAACAATAGTCCTAATTTGTAACCAGACACTCTATGATTTAATAAGTAAGTTTCTTCCCTATCATAGACTGGGAGGCTATAGAAAACTGATCATCATAGTTACGGGTTTCTGGATAGAAGGTCTGGATCACTAAAATACAAAGATTTATACAGTATCTTTAAACAGGGCCACCTGTTTATTAGATCCATGGCCTTACTGGCTAGTGAAAGCTACCCCAAAATGATATGTAGTTGAGTCCATGTGGTAGAATTGCCCTCTTTGAGATAGGGGGCGGTTTCATTCACATTAAAAAAGACCCCTTTATAGTATGCCTCTTCTTCAAGAGACTATCATTGGACTTAAGACTCTTGGACATTTTTCATTGAACCTTCAACATTTTCTTCTCATAATAGTTGTTGAGAAGAAACTTGAATTGCAGTTTCAGATGTCCCTGGGGCAAATGGATTACTTAGCCCCCTTTCACCATGTTTCAGACTGGGACATA